CCCCTGTAGGGAAACCATGGGAAACCCCCCCCCCCCCCCCCGTTTCACTTGGCCAGTTTGAGGACTCAGGGCTCTTATAGGAAGGAGGCCCAACCAAAAAATAAAGGGGTTAATTCAGGTTTCTAAGAAACTGCCCCTCTACCCCCCCCCTAAGCCAAAATTTTGCCCTATATTGGCTTGGGGGGGGGGGGGGGTAGGTGGGCAGTGTCCAGGAAACCTAAAATGATCCGAAAACACTAAGGAGAGATAACAGGCCCTGTGGTCGCGTTTTGGGCGATACGAGCTGGATGCTCACAGAGTACCATAATAATATTAAATTACTAGTTTGAGTTGTTAATCAAGTAAACGTGGCTGCTATTGAAGGGTTTACACGACAGTCGCAATGAAATGGCCCCGGTGGTACTACTACATTGACCCCCCCCTCCCGTCCCACCCCAAGAACTATTCTTAGAGACAACAAAAACTCTCGTGGGTATTCTTTATACGGGTTGTTATTCATTTTAAACTTTAATAAAGTACACTTGTCTAATCTACTGTCGTACAAGCGACCGAATCGCTCGCAGTCTTACATTTCACAAGTTTTGTATTCAAGTACGAGTTAAACTATTTACAGAGTATACATGTTAAAAAGGGTTGAGCAATGATGGCTCGGGTATTAAAAGTGAAAGAACTACGATCAAGTAAGAAATTGTTAAATATAATCAAAGACAAGATTTTATAATATCTAATACTGTACCTTAGCAACTGATTTAAGAATCTTTCTTTTAGTTATATATTACTCTTTCTAAGTTAGATATTACCTTCTCTTTAAATATGTTCTAAACTTTTGTGGCAATAAATAATATTTAATATATTAAATAACGGCACATGGCCACTTTTTAAGCTTTAAACTCTAAAATCAGTCTGATACACGAGTGTCAGAGCGGTTACTTTTATAGCCATGGAATGTTCACATAACAATTTTGTTTAAATTTTGAGAAAAATTATCTGATTCCAAGCAGGTTACATAAGTCACTTCTCTAACAGTCTAACTGCACGCAAAAACTGAAAATGTCACCAGAAAAGACCGTAATAAAAACAGAGGGAAACAATACGATGTTCACGTCGTGTACGGTTTTCAGGTTTTTTCTCCTAAAAAGTCTTACTTGAAGGACTGTCACGTGACTAAGAATATCACGTGACAACAGGGCTGGTAATGATATTCAACGGGAAACAGTCATTTCGCAACATTTGTCGAGGGAATGTTTGGAAATGTTCAGACCACGTCGGGCTAAGGAATCAAAACACCCTCCACAAACAGAAATAGATGGTCACGTTTATCATCACATTGTGAGCGATTGTGCGTGTACAAAAAAGTTGTGAGAGCGGCTCAAACAACTTCAAATACTTCGAGAGAAAAACAAATGTAGCAACAAAGTTAAAATTTATCATGTTACAGCAATGTTCTGAGGGGTTCTCAAATAACCGCAACTTCGTCTCTCAACAAATGTCTCAAAAATGTTGAGAGTATTAACCGGGGTTTTAGCTGTAGTACTCAGACAGTTACTTAACAACCGCTCTTTGACTTTCATGGTCTTTTTTGCTTTTTCTGTGAAAGAAAATTTTTACGTTTTACCTTTTAGTTTAGTCTTAAAATCTTTGAGGCATCATTTAGTGTTGGTGCACTGGAAAATTGAAAGGAAAACTTCCTCTTGCTTTCACAGCGTAATAACATCATTTTCATTTTCATTCTCACCAAGTTCATATAAATCCTGTTTAAAATTTGTTTATAATATAAACCGGAGGCGTTTTCTCCTAAGCGGCATATATTACAGTAAATTTAACCCTTTAAGTCCCAGTGACCAACATCAACTTTCTCCTAAGAATATTAGAGAGCTTTAGATTCGAGGACAAGTATGATTACGAGTACGAGATTTCCTCAAATACTAAGTAGTGCACGCGCGTGAACCAGCATCATTTTGGCGGGAAAACGTGATAGCCGTCGTCATTCTACAACAGGATTTAGCGAGAATTTCGTAGTGGCGGGAACAAGTTATCACATGTGAGAAGTTTTATCATTTTCCTATCGGGAGAGGGCTAAACCTGCTTCGGTATAAATAACCGTATCAACTTTTTTGGTGAAAGAAAAAGTAAAATGAAGCTTTCCGGGGTGTCTTTTTTTGAGAACACGCAAAAAAACTTTAAGTTAAATCTCGTACTCGGACTCGTTCTCCTCCTCAAATCTAAAGCTCTCTATTCACAGATCATCAAGGAAAACGGTTATGAGAATTAGTAAAATGATCACAATCAGGAGCCCATCAAATTTGATGGGCTCCTGTCACAATATAAAAAATGCCTTGATATTTTATCAAATTCTCTCAGCGACTTGATTAAGGAAATGCCTGGAGTTCAGTCTGGAAAATTTGTACGTGGACATTGGGGCTTAGAGTGTTACGCGCATGCATCCCTAACTAATACTGTTTATACATACAAAAACTTGAAACAATCTATTCAACCCCAAGTGACAGAAACGGGGCGTATGACCAGGTTAGCTGCTTCTGTAACTCCTCGCTTGTTAGATACAAAACCCGGAGAGGGCTTGGTATGACAACATGCAGCTCAAAACTGAAGAGTAATATCGTGCGAAAATAGTTGAGATCACATTTCACATGCTTACCACATCAGACAAACTGAAGCCGTAACTGTTGGCATTGATCCGCGATAGCACTGACGCCATTTTGCTTGCATTTCTTAATCTTTTACTACAACAAAATCGATTATAATTCAAAGCTCATCATAACATTGTCTCAAGAAAATTAGGGTCTCTCTGTGGACTCCTTAGCGGCTGGTTAACACCATTCAAGTTTGGGTGTGTGCTATGAAGAGTCTCGGACGCTGCTTGTTTTAAAAGTCCGTTCCTTTTTCGCCTTCCGCCGCGCGGTTTAACTGATCCCAGGAGAAACAGCTCTTCCTGCGAAATGTTAAGAACCGAATCTGATACAGAAAAACGCGACTCGGGTGTCGAAGACTCATCCGAGTGCGGTTTTGACCTTCTGACAGCCACACCGTTTTGAGTCGATGGTTGTTTGGTGAACAGGGCAACTGTATCATTATCGTCCAGGTTGTACCCGTTTTCGATGTAAGTTTCCTCTTGGCCTGTTCTGGGCAAGGAGTAGAATTTAGGCATTTTCGGCCTATGAGAGCTGTACGGAGCCAGTGGTGTTTCTGATTCTGTTCCATTCAAATGTTCTGTGGATACATTACTGCTCTCTAAATCAGGTGAAGAAAATTGAGTTTCGTATCTTCGAGCACGTGGATGCGGAAAATTCCAGTAAAGAGATGAAGAAAAGTTCGCTTGAATTTGCGAGTCGTATTCGAAGGTTCGTGGAGGTTTCGGCGGCGGTTTGTATCGGAAGCTCTGACGACCCTCGGATTTTTCCGTCTCGAATGTTCGGGGAGGCTTCGGAGGTGGGCTTCGGTTTGTTCGGGGTGGAGTGCGGTCAAAGCTATGAGATACTGAAGTAGCCGAGGTATATTTACTATTAATCTCATCCAACGTTTTCAAAGATTGCAATGAAGATGGTGAATCAGAAAGGTCTGTGTTTGAACGTGGACACGGATGTGTTTCTACAATGACTTCGTCGGTGCTTTGTTCAAAGGAGGGAAGTGTAAAGTCTTTCCAATTCGCGGAAACGCGCGCGGAAGGCGCGCCTTCGTCCAAGTCGGAATCATCAAAGGCACTTTCGGGTCGTGCTATTGGTGCTTTACGTGCTTCTGATACAAGAGCAGTTACCCGCCATAATGGGTGACCCACTTCTGTGATAAGAACAAGAACACAATGCAACCTTGAGAATTTAAGACAAGGAAACAAGATACGAGGAATTCTGTAAAGACGTCAAACACAAGTTTCAACTGCCCTGTGTTTAAGATCAGACGCTATTAAACTCAAGTCTTATAAAAGAAGACCATTTGCTGCGATGTACAGGGTGAAAGTAGAGAAGAAAGAAAGACCAAATACACATTAATATTTGTACAATACTCTTACAAAATATTAGAGTTCCTTACGCACTGAAGGTAATAACAACAAAGAACGAACAAAGAGAAAAACTTAAACACACAGCAGAAAACGCAAACGCCAAAACGACAACCTTTCAATTTGAAATAAGCTACAAAAACACACACAGCGCAAAAAAATAACAGAAGTTAATTAACGTCGCAAAACTCTTATCACCAGGTTGGTGTTCTACCTGTTTTTAAATTTAAAAAAAAAAAACTATAACAAGAACAGAGTGCAACTCAACACGTTGAAATTCGTTGGAAAATTTCTTTTAGTTTTGTTATCTTTTAATTATCTTATAGGTTTAAATAAAGGTTTAAGGTTTTTATTTGGATTCAATTACATTCTATTGAGAGGAAAAACGACCACTTTTATAAAGGGGAGTCTTTTAAAAGTTCGATAACACTGCTATAAAATTATCTTACATTGAAGATGTTTATTTACTTTGCGGGGAAATACAGGCCTCACTTTTGTTCGTTTTCGCGTGGAAAAGAGCGCCTAAAAGTACCTTTGAAGAACAACAGTGACAACCGCTGTGAAAGTCGTTGTGTTGCCCTAGTTGTGGCATGAATGTAGCTTAAAACAAACCAACAGTTCAAAACTATCTAAGCGTCAATACAGCTACGGTCTCTTATTTTGACGTGAGAACAGTGCCAAACTACTAAGGGCAGTAAAACGATGACTTCCTCGCACAGAAAAATAGGTCATTGTTGTACAAATACTTTTGCACCAAAGAGTTAACTTAGCAAGGCGACTGACCTGTCATATTTGACGCAAGGGTCGATTTTTTTTAATTAGTTAATTATGGAAAAAAAATATTTCAAAACACGATTATCAACGAGCATAGACTCGCCTTCTCCGATGTTTTAGCGATGAAGGAGGCGATAATTAATAACAATTTTGGCGGAGAGAAGGGAGGAAACAAGTAGACACTCGAACGAATGCGTCGAGGGAAGAAATGCAACGGTTTAAATCATTAAGAAGAGTGTGTAAACAATGAACCGTAGAGAATGGGCCCCGCTTCAAGAGTACAGTACATTACCTTGTCAAACTGTAGTCACGCTGATTTCAAAGCCGTCGATGCTTTGCATATCAGCAGGAACGTCAAGTCCAACTTCTAAAGTTTAGTCAAAGAAGAAACGAAGAAGAGTTTACAAAAGGAACAAAACAGACTGTTTAGTCATGCGACGATTCAGTAACTATAAGAACTGTTAGATAGTAGATCACACGCGGTACAAACACGATTTTCATTGTGGAGGGACAATAGGAAGAAACAATTTCCTGGCAATGGGTCCTTTGCGGGGAGGTGAGTCACCTGTTACAAAACCGCGGTGCTGGGGTGCACGAAGAGCACTGGGACAAGACAAAAAAAGGAATTCTTGTTGCAGCGCTTTCACTGCGTCTTTGTATCACGTGACTGACCACCTGAAAAAGGCCTGTGCAACTTGGCTTGGTTCGATAATGTGAATTCGCGGCTTTTTGGGACCGGATTTATTTCGTCTTTAAAGAGTTAGTTCTTGATTAGTAACCGAACGGTTAAATATTTAACACCGTATGTGTTAGGCAAGTTAGTGGGCGTTATTGGGCTGTGAGTGCAAATTGATTTCTTTTAAGTCACCTAAAAAAACTTAATTAATTATTTATCACTTCCGAAATATAACAGGAAGTTTAGATAACACTTGATTTGAATCCTTAGACGTTTTTGAGACACTTCAACTTTAAAAATCAACTTACAAAAATGAAACTGGCAGAGTTGTAGAGACAGACAAAAATGAAATATGTTTAAGTCACTGTTAAGCTTACACATTGGTTTTTATGTCTTAAAGGTTTTACGATCTCATTTAGGGTCACTACAACTTCCAATTTCAATTGATTTAAACGTTAAGATAAGTCATTAAAACCTGTATAGCGAAACGGATTAACAAACACAGATTGACAACAAAACCAAACAACACAATACTCATAAAACAAGAGAAAACTTGAGGTGGAGAGCAAATGTGAGATGGAGGGAGGTTTAGCAACGGCGACGAGAACGTGAAAAGCATATTTGAGCATATTTTTTGGTACATCTCTTTGCCGTTCCTGCTCGTCGACAACGACGTGCAATCCCCTTAGGCAACGTTTTATTGAGGACAAACCTACGACGACAAGCTTTTGCCTTTTTTTCCTTCTCTTAACTTTTTTCTTAACTTGAGTGCTGGCCCCAAGAATTCAACTCTAGGGAAATTCGCCTTTTGGTATTTAAAGCGCGTTGGAATAAACGCGACTAAATTTGAAAAAAATTAACGCGAATATATTTTAGCAGTCAATTTTTCGCTGCCGTCCTTAATAAACTGCGTGGCGGGTGCATGCAGCGCGAGATAAACGAAGCGCGCGAAAAAGGAGGACGACATCTGTGAGAAAAGAATTAGCTTTCTCCCTTCAAGCGCGCGTCCTCCTTCCCGTTTTAATTCGCGCCCTAAATTTCTCATGCTCTTTTTCCTTAGGCCAGTCGTTCAAGGGACTAGGCACTAACCATCTGCTCATACAATAATCGCCCCAAGTCTGGTGAAGAAAACAAACGAAATTTTAGGGGCATCGATGGACAAAACTGGACTTGGCCACGGTTGCTCAAACCTTGGAAGGAGCTATTCACCGGAAAAATCGCTATCCAGCGAACAAATATTAGGGAAATCCACTCGATAGAGATTTATCCAGTGGATAACGTTATCCACCTTTTAATTAAATGGGGCCTGAGGGTTACAGTTCGTAGAAAAAGAAAGTTTAACAAATTCAAGTAAATAACGTCGACCTAGCCCCTTAAAACAGAAGTTTGAAAAAGAAAAAGAGGTCTCAAAAGTGCACAGCAACAAGCGTGAATATAAGCAGTGCTTTGGAGTGCTCGAAGATGAATAGAGCCGTGTGCAACAGCAAATAAAAGAGGAATCAAACTAATGAACAAACTACAGCAGTAATATGTCCAGGAATGAGTCAAAACTGAGCAAAGATTTAGGTTATAAATCAACTCAGCAGATTGCAACATGATGCTGTAAATGAACAGTTAGGAATGAAACTGCTTTTTGAAGTCTCATTGTAATTAATTTAACTCGAGTATCCTTTACCACTACGCGCTCCTGTCTTCGAAACAGCCATTTTTGTTAACTCGGTAAAGACCTGGAACTACAACCCTGGTAAAAACATCTTGGGACACTTGAGGAAATTAGGCGCGCAGACGCACTTTGCTAAATAAACTCATTTTCTAACTCTTAAAAAGCTTGAGAATATTGTTATAAGAGCCTATTTCTACTGTCCCCCTCTCCCCCAAGCAAAATTGATTGCGTTGAAACAAAACTTGAATGCTGGCATAACGTCAACACTGCACCGCGGGAGAGAAAACACCTCATTTTGACAAGCTATTGCGTTAGTGTCCCAAGAGTTTTGACTAGAGTTGTAGTTTGAAGTCGAGGCTAATGTGGAATAGCCCTTCACATACAAATATTTTCAATGATATCCCCCGCACTGGCCTCGACTGTAAGCTGGCTACAGTTCACTGCCGCGAACACGCGTATGGTCAATGATAAAAAGAGCCAGTACATACTCAATCCGCTTTTAAGTGGACTGGAACGGGCTAGAAGGAATGGAAAATTCCCAAGGTTGTGTAATGTTTCCCGCATTAACCGGTTCTGCTTTCAGTATTCTAATCATGAAATACAGGCAGATAAGTAACGGAAGGATTAAGGCACAAAAGTGGAAGTAGGCGATGTACTCTCCCTTTCTCCCCAATCCCGACGCGACCCGTCCCCTCGGTCGCTGGGACGTGAAAATTTGTTATACGAGATTGCCCCTAAGTATTGCAATAGTTACTGTTACAAGATTACACAGTGGTCTCTTACCTAAAGCTAAGGAGTCAGCTGAGGGTACTCTCTCTAAGGCCAGTTGTCCTTCTCTTGTTGTATTAGATTCATTCGCTTTAGAAGGAACAAATGTAGTGCGAATGTGAATGTAATGTCCTCCAGGAGGGTAACGTGGGTTTAAGTCGGGCCAGATTCGACTCCATAAACAAGAATTCTAACAGTACTAAGGAGGCTAGACTAGGGGTGCTTACCATTTGACAAAGCAAACTCGGTTGGGTTGCCCAGTGGCACAATGGTAAGCGATTTACTAGCTCACCGTAGCAATACCATTTCTTTTAAGTTTTGAATCTGACAGAGACGGCAATATGTGTGGCCAAAGCCTAGAATTGATGAGGAAAGTAAATAGTACGCGACTTTATATTTAATTCATACCAACCGGAACAAAGTGCTCATCTCTGGCTTTCGGTTGGAATGTCTGAAAAATGACCTAACTATTAACCTTCTGTCAGAAATTTTCGGAATTTTGGCTAAAAGGCACCCTAGATTTTGAAGATTTTCAGTGTACTTGTAACTTTGAAGTTTGTCCGTTAAGATGCTATGAAATGCAACAGAAATTAAAACATGTTAGACATCGTAGATTTTGCTCCATAGAGAAGGATACTGCTTTTGAATTTACATTTAAACTCAAAGCAATTTTAAAATCTGAGTATTTAACCTGATAAATTTAGAATTTTTAATTCTCAACTTTTAAAAAATCAGCTAAACAAGTCTCTGTTTAGCACATAACTAGGGGATTCCGATCTAAAACCACCGAGAAGGTTATATACAATGTAAGAAATGCGTGGTGGTGTAGCAACGGAAAAGTCTACGGTTGGCTACCTGTAAAGTGCTCGAAAAACAAAATAACCTTCATTACCTGAAGATCCCGGTAATCTGGACCCAATGTGATTATGTACATGATTCGTTCCCACGGCGTCTGAACCAGGGACCAACAGGGTGTTAGGGCTTGGCAGCGCGGGTCCATAAAGCACTGTCTCCTCCTGTTCTTTACTGGGAAGGCACTGATTGAGGGCGTCCAATACAAAGTCTGGCATATGGTCCTCCCACATCAGGCTTGAGATCTGAATCGACTGGAAGTCCTCTAAATCTGCCCAAACGGGTTCGTAAATGGTGCGTTTACGACCGCATCGACTGCAAATATGAATTGACTATCTTCAGTAGGTGGAATATGATCTTCCGGGTGAGAGTAGCCCTGAATAAGACTCTTGTTGACAGAAACGGACTTCTCGACAACCTGTGTGGCAGTCACTTTCAGAGTCAAAGCGAGTTGTGTATCGTCAGTTGAGAAATGCAAGATGGGCTATCACAACGTTATATATGAGCACCTCTTGATTTTCATTTAAACATTTATGACTAACTGTCCAAAAAGCCTTTTCTCCTCGCGTTAGGCATGCGCAATAAATCTTTTTGTCTGGTTGTTTTTCAGTGCTGGAGATGTATTAGTAAAAATTCACTTTCTTGCAAACGTTTATCACATGAATTCGCAGAAAATTGCCACACAGGTGTAAATTATCAGACCCCAGGCGAATAACGCTATCCATTCGAGGACGAGGACTGCTACGGGGACGAGATTCAACTTAAACGTTTTTTCGCGTATTCTTAAAAACTATTCACCCCGGAGAGCTTCATCTTATTTTTTTTTCACCTGAAAAATTAGCACGGTTATTTTTTTTGAAGGAGGTTAAGCCCTCTCCCGATTGCAAAATGATAAAACTTGACAACTTGTTTTTCGCAAAAACCCGTAGTAGAATGAGGACGACGATCGCGTTTTTCCGCCAAAATGACGCTGGTTCATGCGCGCGCACATAACTTAGTATGGAGAAAATTTCGATCTCGTAGTCGTCTTCGTCTTAGAATCTAAAGCTCTCTAATAAGTGAATTCCCTGACCCGCCGATAACGAAGGCGACTTACGTTGGTATGGAGACAGTTTTGACAATATGAATGACTCTTCCAGGGGGATAAAAAGTAGGTGTCTTGGAATGCTTGTTGCTAGGTAACTCAAAATGTTCCCAGGCCATCTCGTTGTCACGTTCCTGAGCGGCGTCACAGTCGACACACTTGCAGCCGTAACAGCAGACAAAAGCACAACGACATACGCAGCCACGCAGAATCTTCCACTACAACCAAAACAGGACCCGTTATAGCCCGAGAAACAGCCGATATTTCGCGGCGACGCCACCACTGGTTTCCCCGCGAAATGACGTCTCAGAAACGAGCGCAGAAATCTCATACTGACCACGTGTTACCAACCAGACCTGGGTGGTGCTACTGATTAGTTGAAGCACATTTCTCAGGCGGCACAACCAACAAAAAGCAGATGAATTTAGGTTTCTGGGACTCTACCCACCTACCCCTCCCCTAAGTCAACATTAACACTTACTTCTCACTTAAGGCAAAATGTTGGGTTAGGGGAGGGGTAGGTGGGCAGTTTCCTCATCAGTATGGAATTTCCGCGCTCGTTTCTCAGACGTCATTTCGCAGGGAAAGCAGTGATGGCTTCGCGAAATGTCGGTTGTTTTCTCAAGCTAGACCCGTTATTTTCTCTACAATGATTTACTTACAAGTGTTCAAGAATAACGTACAAAGCCAGTATATCACAACTGGAATAAAGAGGTCTAATTTAGTGAGACAGCAGCGCCAAAAAATTACCCTTTAGTCGCCGACTAAAGGGTGACAAATGCAGCTGGCAACACAAATCCGAATCTGAGTGAGATTTCCAAGCAAATTAATAACAATAATGTAACCCTTCACGATTGGTTCAGTTTTTATTTTGATTGGTTGCCTGAGAAAGTGCCGTAAGATTTTACGACAAGAAAGTTGAAAAACGTTCGGTTAACGGTTGTAACAGATATTGACATACAGCCACGTTCCCAGTCGTCCTCGGCGAGTTGGATGGCGTCACCTGCCAAGCCGCCTAGGACTTAGCTTAGGTCATGTTCAGACGTTTGACTGCGGTGTGTAGCCTAGGACACCACGCACTATTGGGTCCGGCTCCAAGCCTCCTTTGCTCACTCGCATAGTGTGAACCAGCCTGGTACGAGGCTAAATGACACGTACACTTAAAGAAATGTTACTTCATTTGTATTTTTACATAATGTCACCACAACTGGCCATTCAAACAAGACTCAGGAGAATTTTTTCGTTGGCTTAATGAAAAAATATCCTCAACTCCAAAGAATTGGTGAAAATGAATACAGTGGCACTGACTTTATGAATTTCTTTACTAGTGACATTTTACGATTGACTCACCTTCGGAGTACTGGAATAAGATATAACCGCCATAATCTTGTTGCGGAGGTCTTCAAGAGTGTAAAGACTTAACCTGAAGGCACAGAATAATGTTACTTGCACAGTTCATAAGGAAGAGAACGTTATAAATGGTTTGAACGCAGGAGTCATGTCATAGGGAGGTGGAATATGATCGTCTGGGCCGAGTTGTTCAAAGCTGGGTTAAGATAACCCAGGGTTATAGCGCGAGATTTGAATTCAGATTTGAAAGCTTAACAAGCATTTCCGTTTTAATTCTTTTTGTCTACAAGTTGATGATTGGAAGCTCTAAAAATAACAGAGAAAATTATCAGAGAAAATGCTTTTGAACACAAGAAAGAAAAACCCGGGTTAAATTTAACCCCGGGTTAAGCGCTAATCGGCCTTCGAACAACTGGGCCCTGGTTGACAGTGACTGACATTCCGTCAACCTGTACAGAAGTCATCATTAAGGTGATGTTACACGGGACGATTCGCAACGATGATTTTTTGCGCAACACAGCGTTGCAATGTTGGAACAGTGTTGCAACCATTTAAAACAATGTCGCCACAATGTTGCAACGCTGTGTTGTGCTAAGTCAAGAGCATTGTGCATCGTTTAAAGCTATAGTAACACAGTTGAGGTACAGGGTCTGGAACTCTCTTGGAGAACAAAAATTAGTTCGAGATAGCAGGTCACAACAGTGATGTACAAATGAATAAAAAAAAGGTCAAGATTAAAATACCTTGGAATCATGTCTTTTCCAACAACGATAGAAAAAACAAAGTCGCGGACATATTTTGCTGCAGAAAGGCTGGGGAAAAGAAAAGAAATGTAAGTTTTGATCCTTGATAAAAACAAGAAAAAAATGTAAAGTGAAATTTGGAGAGGTTACAATCACAGATAATATCGATAGTTGAGTTCTTTACATGAACTTTACAGGGGCTGTTAGCAGTTTATATGTATGTGGGCTTATAAGAAGGAAGTGGCTCATTTGAGTAAAGACGGTGTACAGACTACGAATATTAGAGATCTTTAGATTCGAGGACAGGGACGACTTCGGAAACGAGATATGATTTCATTTCTTTTTCTTTTTTCAAAATTCTCAAAAGATAGACATTTCGGAAAGCTTTATTTTACTTTCTTTCACCAGAAAAGTTAGCACTGTTATCTCTATTGAAAGAGGTTAAGCCCCCTCCCGATCGCAAAATGATAAAACTTCTAATATTTTATAAGTTAATATCGTCACTAAGACCCTAAGCCTCGTAGTGGAATGACGACGGCTGGCGCGTTTTCCCGCCAAAATAGTGACATTAGGGTCCAACGACGCAAGGGCAACGAGAACCACGCTTAAAAAGTGAATTTGCGTTGTTTCAGTCTTCATCGCAATTATTCCTACCCACTTACTTTGTTAAATGCAGGCGATCCCTCCTGAAGTTGAATTCAAAGGGACCATATCGAAGTTCAGAAAACAAAAAAAATTTCGTCGTTGCTTGCTTTTTGTTTCTCCACAAAATTAGTCGAAATTAGTCGTAGTCGTGCAAAAACAGCAAAGAAATGTATCAAAAAGTGTGATGCACGTGCAAACTAAAGTTGGTGTTTTCCTTATTAAATCTTTTGCTTTTTTGCCGTTCCCGTTGACGTCGCCGTCGTCGTTGGTCCCTGAGCTAAAGGTCTCAATGCCCAGCCTCGACCAACACAAGGCAACAAAGGTCGATCATCAAACGTGTCTGGGAAACTGCCCACCTACCCCTCCCCTAAGCCAACAATGACACTCACTTCTCACTTAGGGCAAAATGTTGGCTTTGGGGAGGGTTAAGTGGCCAGAAACGTATAATGATCCGAAAGGTCTGTACCTGAGAGTAGCTCCAGGCGGTGAGAAGGCATAACAAAAGACACCAGGGTAATATGGACGGAGAAGCATGGCCAGGATAGCTGCTGTTCCAGCACCAAGAGAATGACCAACAAGAATCAGACGGTAAGATTCTGTCTGTCTATCCTGTGAACAAGTACAATAAAAAAAATGGCTAAACTACGCTGAAAAGGACTAATCAAATGAGTTACGCGAATCATCAAATATATAGACCCAAGCCATCCAATGCTGAGCCAAGCAAGGCAAACACGATATTTTACACGACGTGCGTTTTCTCCTCCCCTCGTCTCGCGATTTGCGCAGAAATGTCGCGTTCGCTTGGCTTGGCTTATAAAGCGCCTGTTATGCAGGCTATTGCTGAACTAAGGGTGGATTTCCACTGTCTTGTTCCACTGTTGTTGTCATTCTAACAAAATTTTTATCCTGGACTAACGCTAATCGGCCTTTCAGGAACCGGGCCCGGGGTACCAGAGGTTTTTTTTCGCGTGCGGCTTGTCTCTGGCACCAAGGGTATTTACGTGCGTACGCACGTAAAAATCATGCGACAGTGGAAATCCACCTTGACAAGTCAAATGAGTTACCGGATTATATCAAGTATATTTTAACACCGGACTCTATAAAACATGCAATCATTAATGCCCCTAATGCTCGCATTAAGAATCTCTCCTTTTCATTTCCACTAACAAGCAACAACTATATAATTTATTTATTAATCACGTTGCAAACTTTAAACAAATTCAGTAAACTAAAATACCAACCGGATCAGAATGAAAGGCTTTAGTAAGAATTCCACTATCCAGCTTCTTCTTAATAAATAAAGCAGCCTTTATCATGCCCTGGAATGATAAAAGATAAAAGAGCCTGCTTAAGTGAGATGTTATTCAACCCAGTATTCCCTGACTCCAACGGATTTTTTCTTGCTCTCTTTGTGTTTCCTACACTAGTTAACTGATCCACCTTCGGCTAAGCTCTCCGTGATACCGTGGAAAAATAATCTTCTACCCTGCGATCAAACTCTCGATCTTAAGTGCTGAGCGAAGCAAGCCTTCATGTCTCTTTTCTAGCGCCGCTCGCGCGTGTCTTTAATGATTTCCCGCCAATGGAGAACTTTCTCTTAGGCTAAGTTTCTTCCGGAACGATGGACATGGTTGCACAAAATTCACAACTTATCTACCGGAAAGTGAATTATCCAGTGGAAAGTACTCGCCACACTTTAAACAGCTGGGACAAGAATTTAACTTTAAAAAAACGGAGAAGGCGTGGGGGTGGATGTAGGGGAAAGAGTAGCGGAATAGAAATGCACTAAGATGCCTTATCACGCTAAGGACCCAATTTAAGCTCTCGCACTGCGAACAAATAGGGTCTACCTTTCCCTTACGCTACAGAAATGGAACATGCAAGGCTGGTGTAGTGGTGAGAGCACTCGCCTCCCATCAATGTGGCCCAGGTTCAAATCCCGGTGTCGATGCCATAATGTGGGTTGAGTTTGTTTTTGGTTCTCCTCTTTGCTCTGAGAGGTTTTTCTCCGGCTACTCCAGTTTTGTCCTCTCTTCAAAAACCGACATTTCCAAGTTTCAATTCGACAGGTAATCAGGTTAATAAAGAACCACTACGTGGATGTGCTAGCTCTAAATCGTTATTTAATTTATTTATTCAAGTTCCAAACCATGTATTTTTATACATGTACCTTGTGTCCAAACCACTCATTGGGATTGCCATCATCCAGTGGAATCTTCTCCGCTTCCACTGAAAAATCTGTTAGGATGTCCTGCAACATGAATTCATTCAACAAAAATGAATTACATCGGATCTGCAGGTTTTTCAGTACTACAGTACATGCGCATAGACTGTATGAACAAATGTTGAAGAGACTGATTGACCCCAATTTTTTTACCTGAAGGGACAACGTTCCCCTGATGGTCACCACAACTGCTTTTTTATCATGATCCACACAAACAAAGAATGGTGTCTGAAATAACTAACAGAAAAATACATGTTGCAGTTAATTTTTTATTTCAATTAATTTATGTCTTTCCTTTGATTAAAATTCATTAGCATACCTTACCATACCAAAAAATAATAGAATAATGAAAATTAACTGAGTTAAAAAATTAACTGCAACACACACAAACAAACAAAAAATAACGCCGCAGATGGAAGAAAAATTACCAATAAATGCCGCTCTCGAATAAACACCGCACCCGATCTGAAACATGCGGCCTTTATTCGAGGTTTATATGAAAAAAGAAGCTCGGTACAACTTTGCCATCTACGCCATCCAGACAATTACGATTCCATCTCAGCAAAAACAACGAGACACTGGAACTTTAAAGGTCTGTTTTACATAATACTTTACGAACGTGTCACATTTTTCTGTGTGATTGTTACAGTTGATTTGTGGGTACAACGGCACCTTCCATCTCATTCTCGAGTCTTTGTTCAACGTAAAATTTAAATAAGAAAGTGGCCTATCAAACTCTCATCGACATTGACGATTACCGGTGGCCACATTGCCGCATTAATTAGGCTGCATAAAGAGCAGGGGCAGAGGGAGAGGAGAAGAGCTTTCACCCCTCCCCCCTCCCCCCCCCCCTCTTCATTCTTCTTTTTGCTCTTGTTTCAACTTTCGCGATGAACTCGCGCAGAAACGCTTGCAACGCGCGCTACTGAAGTTTGATGAAATCAGTGCTCTAAAATTAACTGCAAGACAGCAAAATGAGCCCTTCTTGTTCAGGAATATCACTTACGAAATGTAACGTACCTTGTTGTGGTAACTAACATAAATGGTATCTCGGTTGTGAATTCCTGCAATCCTTTTCATTGCTGAGTAGTTACAGCGACAACAGTTGTCACTTTCAACATCAACAAACTTGTGTGATCTACGATCGGGAGAACGGCACCGATAACAGCATCTGTAGGAGACAAGAAGATGATGCATCATGCACATGTAAGTTAGATAAAAATCCACAGAACAGGAGAAGAGAGAAAGGAGTTTAGCCCTTACAAGAAGTTCATCGTATGCACTACTTATATCACAACAGACTGATCTTTGCGCACTTTCTCTCTCTCTCTCTCCTTGAGTTTCTCAATCTTTCGTCTATCAGATTTTCCACAAAAGTGCCAGACCTTCTGACAAAATATTTGTAAATTCTAAGCTTAGCCATTGTTGTTATTAATTTTTTCTCTCTCAATTAGGACCACTTCTTTTCTAAATACATGTACTCTTATATAATAGATAGTTCAAACAACTGACGCATTAGCACAAACTCAAAAGCTCTAGTCACAGTATTTTCATTACCTGACGTTTCTCAAGAGCTTACAACACCCACAACCAACGTTGTTCTTCATGTAGATAAGCCAGCCGTAAGCAGACAATGCATAATTCATGTAATAAACTATGTCCTTGAAAAGAAGCAACTCTCTCTAAAGTTAAGAAACAATGATAACAGTCAAAGAAATAGACCATTGAAAGTTGTGCGCCCTTAATTAGTACACTTGGGCCTCCTGAAGAATTCAAGTTTTCTTGTAGAAATTATCAACTTCATTTTTACTTTTTTTTTTGCATACCTAATTGTACAAAAAAATTGGAGGCTGTATTTTGCAGTCGAGTTGAACCCTTTTAGATGGGATGGCTGTTATGGGGAGGCAAGGTAGAAATGTAGCACTTACAGCTGCTCTAAAACAGTATTGCTTACTTTGAGTTTGGCGATGATTTATTAAGGTTGCTGAACACAGTTTTGTGGGCCGTCAGCGGTAACTCGCGTGACGGCGCGTGTTTTAAATTAGACAAACAAACATGTTGCCGAAAAAGCAATGGTACACAGAAGACGATATCTCAAAATCTACTCATTAAAATTTTGTGCTATTTGGCAGAAGTTTTACTTTTATCGTATTTTAAATAATGAGAACCTTAAAATGGAAGTTGAACGGACAAATTTTGTGACACATTTAATAATCACAGTACAATATATTTATTATATTATTGATTGTCTAAAAACCTGTCTGTTAAAATTTGGTCAAATAAGTTTCAAATGGTAATGATTAATTATAGTAAGCTATGTGCAAGTTTATAGGAAAATCTAATGAGTAAATTTTATGTAAACTGAGCAAAAGCGAAATTTTAAGAGCGAATGTCTGTAAAAATCGAGCAACCGGCGGCCACGGTCAAAAATTAAATTTCGCTCATATCTTGTCCATACATACTCATTAGTAAGTAACTAAACGTGGTGTAGTTTGTTTTTCAAAAGGCCGCTTGGATTTGGAGAAAATCTACAAAATCAATTTTCGTGGTCGGCGACTTGAAAACAACCAAAATTTGAGGCAAAATGAGGCAGTCTCAAAACTTCACTCGCACGCAAAAAGGAAGAAAGCGTGGTAAAATATTCCCCGATAAATCAATTTATAAAGGGTTTTAACCCTAGTATGGCGGTGAATTCTTATCTTAACGATAATGTGGAAGGTAAACAATTTTATTTTAGTTTTGGTTCTTTTTCAACTCTACGAAGTTTAAATTTAGACCTTAAGTCGCGATTTAATTTTTAGGCATGTGCTACACCTTGGTTTTTCCTGAAACTCAAGCTATAAGTTAGTTAAACATTGTACTAAAACATATGTAAGAACTGGCTTGGGTAATTTAATTTGCGCTTCAGACGAACCTTCTGAACTTGAACAAAACATATGACGCATTTGCATAATTCACCAACGGCTTGCTGTTGCCGAAAGGGATCATTGGCACTTCTTGAGAAGAAACCTGATGTACGGCTCTATAGTACGATAGTTAATTTGCCAACATGCAATAGAAATTAACTTACTTTTATAGTTTGGGACACTTGCTTTACTTTTTCTACTCTCGAGCTCCAAAATTCTGCTGGCGCCAAGGCATTTTGTAATTTGACCTCTAACGAGAGGTCATTGAAGATGGGCCAGGTTATTAAAATGTCACTCAAACCGAATGAGCGTTATGATCTAAATTCTTAAGGTGGTTGAACAAAATATTTCACAAGAAAAATATGTTTTTAAGACATTTTCGGCGATTTGAAAGATGTTCTTACCATTTAATAGAATCAGTTACAACGTACAGGGACGGAAGTGTGAGAAGACAAGGAGTGGTGTTGCGTGACAACGAAAACCATCCTTCGAACAGCCAACAAAATTGTTTATACATTTCTTTGATGTTTCCAAAGTTATTTGTTCAATTATACAACAACTGAAGGGTTGCATAGTCTGGCTGCCAACAGTACTTGATTTAAAAGTGTAAAGTGGTGGTCAGTTTTTCGGACACCTGCGCGTGTGATAAAAGCAATGACTATTAAGGAATTTGGAAAACATCAAAATCATACACCCTGCCAGTACACACGAACACTTCGTAGGTTTTAAACTTTGAACAACCTGGATAAATGATCTCGGAAGCGTTTTTTGTTTTGAGTGAAGAATCACAATAAAAAAATCACGTTATTTCGTATGTATATTTTGGGGAAGGGTAGCTCTGAATCTTAGTTGGGTACTACCTAGTAAGACTCCGATGGTAAGACCGTTGAGGGGATAGAAGAATCCATCGAAAGGGTTACGCTGTAACTCTTGGTCAAGGATGTTAGGTAAGCAATTCGCTCTAAACCCTGTCTCCCCTTTTCAAATGCTTGCACAGGCTAACCAGCATTAAAAACTTACATTAGCAAACGCAACTAAGAAAATATTGCAAAGTTATTGGGGAAATGCTATCCAGGCAGGGCGGCCTTGTGAAGTGGTAGATGACGTAGCGCTATTTTCAAGTCTACAAACCTCTCCTTGAGTGTGAAGACTTAAGGCATGAGTTTCAGTTTCTAGTATCGAATATATACAATGAAAGAAACCTGGGGTCTAGAACGCTGACCTGTTCGTCTCTCATTCCTTTACCAAAAGATATGTCAAAGTATATCAGACAATTTCAGTTCCTCCTTACAGCATGCTCGGCTACTCAAACAAGCTTTAAAATCTGACACCAAGAAGATATACCGCAGATACAGCAAGTTAGAAAGCTGGAATCAAACGTGTTTACCAATGGGTTAGGCCCTGACGTCTTCAAATTCACGTTAAAATGACACTGTTTAGGCAAAAGCATTAAGTTTACTTTTCCAGTAAATTCCGTCTTGCGGCCTTTGACAACGGACCAGGTTTCCCGTTTCTCGAAAGTCCCGGTAACTTTTCGGGCCCGAAATCAAATATTCAAATCGAAATATAAAGAATAAGAGCGCTGCTCCTGGCTAGCAAACTACTCCATTTTGTTTCATTAACTGATAGTTTTATCATGTTAGATGCAAAACTATTAAAACCTCGATCTTTAATGTAAACGGAGACAACTTACCGGGCCCGTTAATTATCGGGACTTTCGAGAAGTGAGCATAATTCACCAACGGCTTGCTGTTGCCGAAAGGGATCATTGGCATTAATTATCGGGACTTTCGAGAAACAGGTCGGTGGGGCCCGTTTGTCCAAAGTCCCTATAACTTTTCGGGCCCGAAATCAAATATTCAAACCGAAATAAAAGGAATAAGAGGAGCGCGGGTCCTGGCTGGCAAAATACTTCATTTTTTCATTAACTGATAGTTTTATCATGTTAGATGCAAAACTATTGAAATTTCTATCTTGCATGTAAACAACAACAGCTTTAGGGGCCCGTTAATTATCGGGACTTTCGAGAAGTTTCAGTCTCAAGAACGGTACCAAAGCGCACACTCAGAAAATGGCAAATGACCGAGAGTAAAACTGAAAAAAAACTATGTGGGTAAAGAAAGCAGTGGTAGCGTTAGGCGATAGTTGACAGGGGCACCCAACGACAGTTTCCTCTTAAATACATTGAAAACCCTTTTAATTTAGGCTATCTAAATCACTAAGTTCTGTGTGGCGCCATATAATTATAACAACTGTTCGGTCATCCACAGGGCAACTTGAGTAGTTTTTTCGATCAAAATTACAAGTGCTTCAATATTATTTTTTTTGAGAATTTTGAAATTTTTTCTGATTCCTTCTCTATTACAAGTTTTGTATCCGAAAGTTTTAATTCCCTTTATATGGAGAAAACCTGTCTCGTGTAGGAGAGTCACCCTCCTAGCCGAGAGAAAAAAAAAACATTGACCCAACCGGCCTTCTCGCATGCTCTAATTGTCTCGCCTTGGCTATGCGAGCCCTTTACCGATACGGATCGGATTTGATCTAGCAATCGGACCGAAATGTCTCCTTCCATTTGACAAAATTATTTTCCCTAGGACCAATGATCTGTATCCTGCTTACAAGCACGATAACCAAACTCGCGGTGGCTTTGGTTTGGTCTTTGCAACTGGAATGCACCTTCCACTGGGCACGTGGTTTTTCCGAAATTTCAAACAGGAATTTTTGTTCAATGGAAAGCGCGTAAAGTGCCTACGGAGAAACGTTGGCCCGGCTAGGAGGCTGACCCTACCATTACAAAAGGGTGACTGGACAAAGTGGGTCACCCTTCTGGCCGAGCAAACTTTTTGTAATTTAAACGGTTCGCCATGTTTTCAGTAAGGAAATGTGTGAAACGTTGCCTTTTCCAGGGAAGCTTAGCCTGAGATCATGCCCTCTCCCTATTAAGGGAAGCACGGATAGGCGGGTGACCCTTCTCCTCGAGACAAATTTTCTTCATATAAGTGGGGCCTAAATTTTAATTCTTTACATTAATTTCAATTATTAATTATTATTATTATTATTATTATTATTATTATTAATTTCAATACAGTGGAACCCCGTTGATGCGACCAGCGTTGGGCCATAAAATCCTGGTCGTGATACCGAGGTGGTCGCATTAAAGAGGTCTTCAAAATAAAATGACTCGGAGATTTTCACGTCTGGGTGAAAGACTATGGGAGGTGAGCTGAGGCAAGAGGTGGTCGTATAAACGGGGTGGTCGCAAGGCGGGGTTCCTCTGTATATAAACAGACTGAAACAAGAGTTTGACGATCGAATAACCATGTTCAGATTAGAAAAAATATATATACTGAAAGAAAATTGCAGAATGTTTACGAAAACTGTTATCCAAAAAAATGGAACTTGCATATGTCAGAGGAAAGACAGCCGCCCGATAGGTAATAACGCGGTGAAATAGCTAGACATTGAAGCCTGAAGTCAATCAAAGGCACATACAAGGCAACGGGGGAAAGTTGACGTGAAAAACGATGTTTTTGGACTTATTTAGTATTGTATGGAAGCACACTTTAAGAAAACTTAGGAAAAAAACAAAAAAAAGCATGATTTGGATTGTTAGTAGCATAATATGCTACTTCTGGCAAGAACATTAAAAAAACGGCGTCGCTCAAATGGTTAGATTGGGAAGCCTGTGAATACTGTCACGCAACACTTTTGACCAGACTTTTATATCCAAAGAGGCATCGGCAGCCCGAAAGTTTCACTATCAAAATCGCAGTTTTTGTGAGACCTAGAATTTTTAAATGGCAATGGATGTAAAAGTGCGACTGCGGAAAAGATAGGCCATGTTCTGTTTGAGGTTATTTTCACGCACCACGTTTCCTCGAGTTTTTGGATCTTCGGTTGATTAGCATGGGACAAGGCGCAATGCCAGTTGACAAGAACGGGAAAACGCATTTGAGGTAACAAAAATTATCGTTTTAGTACAAATGTCTTTAATACAAGTGCGATTGTGAGTTAAGTTTCGTTTGGAGAGCCCAGCCATCGTGACTTGTCGAGCAACAACCAACCGACTTTCTTGAAAAGTCTCATATTTCAAGCAAAATTTATTCAACTTCAGAAGGTTCGTGTGAAGTACAAATTTAATTACCCAGGCCAATTCTTACATATGTTTTAGCACAATGTTTACTTAACAAATGACTTGAGTTTCAGGCAAAACCAAGGTGTAGCACATGCCTAAAATATAAAACGCAACTTTAAGCCTAAATTTAAATTTCGTTTAGTCGAAAAAGAACCCAAACTAAAAAAACATTGTTTATCTTCCAGATTATCGTTGAGATAAGAATTCATCACCAAACGAGAAGTAGAGCCCTTTATAAATTGATTTATCGGGAAATATTTTACCCCGCTTTCTTCCTGTGTGCGTGCGAGGGAAGTTTTGAGACCGCCTCATTTTGCCTTAAATTTTGGTTGTTTTCAAGTCGCCGACCACGAAAATTGATGTTGTCGATTTTCTCCAAATCCAAGCGGCCTTTTGAAAAACAAACTACACCACGTTTAGTTACTTACTTCTGCCTATCTATGGACAAGATATGAGCGAAAATGATTTTTTGACTGTGGCCGCGAAATTTCGATTTTGCTCGATTTTTACAGACATTCGCTCTTAAGGTTGTATTCAATTGTTCATGTTGCTATGGAAACTACAAACAAGTCAAATTTTACCTGTCATCAAAATCTTTCATCAGTATAATTCTCACTTGCCAAGTTTCAGCTTGTGAGCTGCAACCTTCCCCTTGCCATGATTAGGCAAATGGCATATACTCACAAACTGCCAAAACTGTGTTCAGCCACCTTAAAGTGATCATATTTCCCTCATGTAGCGGTCTCCCACTGGTGTTTCGACCCCCAGCCAAAGCTTACTTAAACAACTTTATTGGCCATTATTATTGGCTTCAGTGCACAGATTTGTAGATCATTACACCATGCACTTACAATAGTAAGCATCACAAAAATCCAACATTTTAAGACATGATACAAGACTTTTACCTTGTCTTTAAGGTTCAGAGTCTTTGCACTATCAGTTCTTTGAAATCTTAAGGATGATTTCTTCACACCTTTCTGTAAAAATAACAACATTTAACTTAGTAAGACATGGTGTAAAGACAGTAGGGTTTACAGCTTACCTGGGCAAGCTGTAGCTAGCATGTGCTAGCCTGAAAGTCGTTTTTATTAATTTGAAAAAACCTTTCGAGAGCAGGATGGACACTATCAGAGTGTCTTCTATGTTTAAGTTATAAAATCAATTAACTCTTTTTTCCCTTTACCATAATAACAACTGTAGTATCAAGGGACACAATATTTGTTATCCTCTATAGTAACAGGTTCCTTTATAAAATCATCATTAATTGATATAATATTGTACTATTTAACTGGAGCAAATAAAATACAAAAATTCAGATACACATAATTATTTGATCGTCAGTGGTGTCCATAACAACTATTTTTGGCTTTCTTTCCTTGCCAACATTGTACTAACCTGAGAATCAGGCACTTGCTGTTCTTCTATTGCCCTCAGCAGAGAAACATGTTCCTGGTATTTTTGATATTTTCTTAGCAAAACAAGTCCCGCAGCAAAGTCAGATGGTACAACATCCATGTTTTGAAAATACTCTGCTAGTGTCCTAAACCACACAAAAATGTTTTGTGAACTTTCTTTTCATTATTTTATCTCTATATTTGAAAGTACAGAGTAACTCTCTTTTGATTGGGCTGGGTATACCTTAGGCAAGGTTAAACTCAAAATTATGCTGGCCAGTAGTCCCTGTGTAAGGTTGGATATCATACATTAATAAAATAGAGACAATGTATGAAAGGCTGGCATAAATGTAAAAGATGCTCGAGTTTCAACTTTTATATTCATGTACAACCCTCCATACACTACCTCTATTTTATTTATATGGGTTAAATTTCTATGCATAGGCATGTAATATAACTATAGAATATCAAATCATACATCTTTCAGATGCACGATGCAGGATGTTCATTTAGGCACTGGAGATTGGAGAATTCTCCATTTACCATGCAGATTCATCCTGCATTGTGCAAATGCAAGGCTCTATCTTTTCCGAAAGAATTACAAACCTACAAACTCACAGACTAGTCAATTACGTGCAAGCAGATAACTGGCTAATCTGTAGGCTGCAACAATTTCCAAAATTAACTGTAGGCTCTTAGCCAATGAGGACACAGATGGTGCATACAATGTATAATTCCTCACAGAGTGACGGTCATTACGCCCAAGCGGGGTGAAGGTTTATTAATTAATCATCTGCGCAGCGCACACAACGCACACGAGGATTGCCAAGTGAAGTGTGATCTTCCTTTGGTCTTAAATATCTCTCTCTTTCTATCGGTTTGGACGAACGCAGTTGTCTAGCAACAAGGCAGCAGGTAAACAAAACTGCCACAAACCTGGCCTGGTTATTTTAGCGGCCGTTTAAGAGGTCAAGAAATGCTTTTAGCGATAAATTTCAAAGGTGGACGTACCTTTAACAGAAAAAAGATGTGATTTGGACCATTAACTTCAAAATAACGGCGGAAATCAAGGTAAGAAAACATGCTTTGTAGCCTACTTCGCAAACAAGTTGTATTGTGCCGAACAGGACATGTGGGGTTCGATTCCTGATGAAATTCTCTTTTAATTCTTTTTTTATTTTTTTTGTTGTTGTTTGCTTATTTGCTGTTTTTTTTTTTCACATATTTTCTTTTCCCTAATGGCTTCTTTTCCTTTCTGCCTACTTCTGGCCCTTAGCCTCTGCTCTGTGAGGCTCTGTGATTCAAGCATTTTTTGTAGTAATAAAGATAATTCAGAACTCTGCCTGCCAATGACAAAACACAGTACGTCCTATTCTGCTGAACCTTATCCAACAGTAATATATTTATTAATTATTTATTTATAAACTTCGCCGAGAGGCCTGGATCACTCACAGAGCAAGCTCCACTATGAGGACTATTTATATAATTTACAGTGTTTATTTAAAACAACTGACTTTATATGGGTAATACAATTACTGGTAAACCCGTAGTTTTCATTGTAGCCCACACGGTGGAATCCCAACTGGCAAGAGAAATAATAGCCAATTACTGGCTATTTACAACGTATAAGCATGACTGAGTAGTTGAATTTAGGACAACTGAGAACAAAATAAAAATCCAGCTGGGGATAAGGGCAAGGATTAAACTAGGGGTCTTTTGATTACAATTCCAGCAATCTCATCACTTGACAAAGCTGCCTTCTGCAGTATTACTTGCAGTTACAGAGGAGTGGCGTACATGTACCAGTTAAAATTATTAGTAGATTTAAACCAAATATCAATACTGTACCTTCCAATGAATGTGAATACATTTTCATCTCCCTGTCTCCCAACTCCAGAACAGCAACAAAATTTCCTGAAGCATCCCTCCCAGCGCTTTTCATATTTGTGAGTAATGTGCCTGCTGAAACCTTGTGACGCATCAACGCTGTCACCCAGCTGTGCATCTCGGAAATAAACCCAAGTTCTCCCAGCAGAATCAAAGGAACAATATATGATAATAATCACAGTAAACAGAAAAAGCCAATTGAAAACCACGATTGCTCTGGCAATGTAAATTTCCGTTGTTAAATCACATATCATAGCATCAAAAAATATCCATTTAATTCCAATGGACAGCCATAATAATTCAATAATGGAAAGAGCAAGACGAACATAGAGAAGATGTGGTATGAGATTCCGAGGTTCTGTATCCATGATTGAACCTTTTCCACTCATCCAAGCGATTGTTAGTTCCATGACATTTGTCGCAAAAAGAAGTACTAGGTAGCCACCCATAAAATAGTCTAATGTCTGCTCACAAACATGTTTATCCCGTTCCCTTACATGATGAACATGGTAGAAGCCATGATATATCCCCAATACTACTGATAATATTACCATCCTGAAATAAAAAAAGGGAGAATCCATGATTAAGTAGCATGTAAAGTACTGCTAATTATCATTGATAACGAACACTGCCAAGGAATGGAATTTCTACCAGGGTTGTCACTAAGATTTCAAGTTGCCAGGTAAATACAACAAGTAGTCAGGGAATCAAACAGTTAGTGAATTCTATTGGTTCTATTTTTTTTTTCTATTTTCCAATGAAAGTAGCCAGGAGCCACATTCATATCAGCCGGGGGAGATCCCCGGCCCCGGCCCCAGCTCTTGATGACAGCCCTGTTCTATAGTCCCTCCAGAAGACATTTCATGGGGAAACTGCTAGTGGTAGAGATTCAAAATGTTGGCTGTTTCTCAGGCTACAAATTAACATTTTTTGCATCTTCTTTGATGTCCCTGGCAGAGAAACTGACCACCTTTAGGGATATTTCTTTATTCACTAAAATGAAAGGCTAGTGCCCGAGACAGTCCACTGAGGTAAACTGACTTTTCGCAACTCAATTCACTCCCCCACCCACACACTTGTAGCAACTCAGGGCCCATCCAAATGTATCCATTTTTATTTGAAAACATAGATTTTTTTCCTCCAGTTTGGCCTACCGTCCACAGGTATTCAGTGAAAATGGTCACCAAAAATGCATCTTTACAAAGACGCTCTGCAGAGTGAAGAATTCTGAAAATTCTGGTCACTCAGTTACGTGTAGATAGATGAAAATGGAGGTTTTCGAATATGATGTCATACATCATTTACTACTAGTGTAACACATGCTCTGTTAGGGATGCTATTTTTTTCCCATTGTTTAGCGTTTTCGTATGGATAAGCGAAAACGATTCAAATATGTTACCTGTGGATGCATATTTTTTTTGAAAACAGTGGGAAAAAATCTCCATTTTCAAAAATATCTAGATACGTGTGGTCTCAGTTTCTTTTGAAACTAAACAAGTTCATAGTTTTGGAAGTGGTTAACCAGAGCATTTAACCCACATTGATTTGAAGGTTAAGGGTTTAAAAATCCCAGAATCAGCAGTAATGTGCCCTGTGATGACTAAAAAAATAATATCTTTATGTTACTTACGAGATGGTTCAACTATTAGACCAAGTGTACGTTTTTACTTTTGTTGCAGTTTAAAAAGAAATTCAGAATAAAATTTTTCAAGCTAGTTTGATTTAACTTTTTAATCCTCTTTTATGTCAATTTCACTTTCAATAACAAACAGAGAAATTTATAATCAAACTAAGTTAAGACCATTTTAACCAAAACCTTTATTTCATCACACTATAATACACAATAAAACGTTACAAGCAACAGTATAATTTCAGACCTAGCATTTCTCTGCTGAGAATAAAGGACATGGAAAAATTTAGTAGATGCTTGGTGATTTGAAGGAACTAAGAAAAAACATTTTGCAATAATTTTCTCCTCTTCATAAATAAATAATAAGCTAAGGCGAATAATGAGACGTGTTTTTCATGAAAATAGGCAGAATGATGTCCACCTATGATGGACAAAACTCATTGAATTACTTTAAGCAATTTAAAACAGACGCTGGGAGTTACATTATATTATAATTTCCTAAGATGTAAAGTATGTTTTGTCTAAGGAAAGGACAAACATTTCCAACAGCCTTCCTATTAGAATATTTCAATTTATGAAGATAATAAATCAACTGTATATTTACATCATTTGCAAACCACAACTTTGATGAAAGATATTAAAAAAGAAAGAAATCATAAATCATATCTGTATGCACATGCTTTAGCACACGAACCCAAGTTTGCACTTAATAAAATCCGGATAAAACAACTTTCAGGTGTAAATTTCATGGACTTCAAGGGAACATTGTTAATTTCAACAATTCTGAGGTTTAGAAGCCACAGTATTTTAAGCAGTTAAAATAATACCACCCCCCCCCCCGAAAAAAACAACAACTCTCTCCATTATTCTTAAAATAAAGACATGTACAAGCTATGATCATCTTAAATAATTTCTGTTATTGGACCAAGCAAATTCTAAATGAGTTACACTGTCATGTCCACTTCCTAAATAACTTTCTTTAAGGCATACTTATTTTACTGGCAGATGTTAACTGTATAATTTAGTTGTCAATTGAGATCATACAAAGTACATGCATGCTGTGGTTAAAATTTTTTTTTTCTGCTTTGAAAACGTGTACAAGCCAATGCAATTTTAGTTCCATGTCAGACTCCAATTCAGTAAAAAAAGTTTGGACTGAAAACTTTCAAACTGAATTAGAATTTGAGACTCAGCATAAAAATTCAAACAAATTCAAATGAAAGAATTTCTACAAAAATAATGGAAATGAAAATTGATGAGTGGTTTGTAATCCACGGTGTTAAGCAAATTATTGCAAAACCTTTCTAGATAAGAAAAGATAATAATCCTTAAACTAATAGGACAGCCATGAAATTTATACCTGTTACAAAATCAGATGATCAAAAACCACTACCTTAAAATAGATCCAACAAATTTCAACGTTTTTTATGCGTGGGAAGACAGAGTTTGGGCAGTTTTAATTTAACCAACTTATAAAACATTTGGTCAGATCTTCAAAATGGATATGCGTGATCTTATTTTTAACCAATGCCTGATAACACAACCACATTGTAGTCCAGATGGAACAAAATTGAATGGCATTCTAATGGTTCCAAACTCCAATAGAAAGCATTTACCTTGTAAAGGCACCTTTAAAATAATATAATCTTACTCTGCAATATAGTTGATTAAACACATCCTATATCTATCCTATTGATTTGTGCACAGTTTCTTCTTATGTAAATTGGGCTCTTTTGCCATAAAAATGTTATCATTTGCTCTCTTATAAGCAATGATGATGTCAAAATATTTACTCTATCTGCAGGAACTCAGTGAGGATCCTTTCTCTGAACAGCACAACTAAAACAGAAAAGATGGGCGATTGTGTGTAATAGATGTATTAAATGTGAGGCATCAACCATCTAGAAAATGCCGCCGCCTCAGGGCAAAAAAAATGCTTAAATGACAACACATAGAATTTATGCTTCATAAAGGTCAGTGCAATGTGTGGTTAATTGCCTCCAAAATATTGCAGGATAGTAGATACTTGATTGACTCATCTACAGTTTGTTTAAACAACCAGGAACATTGTAAACTCACAACACAGCAAAGAGATTTTCATAGCACTTTGAATGACAGAAGGCAGACAGCAGAAAATGCCTGTGTGACAGCCTTCACATTCTTCACATTGATAATTTTTGTATTTTTCAATTTTGTTATTTTTTGTGTTAAATATGCAAGGAGAGATATTGGACTCGAAATTATTTTAACGTGAGTTGAATACTAGTACAATAAATGAACCAAAAGAGAAGGATTTCTTGAGTAGCTGGTGATAGACGCAGTGAAACTGCAAGAGCAAAGAAGCTTATTTCTTCACATTATTGTAAACATTGACATATTTGGCAATGCTTGAGTAAGCACTTATGGAATAAATTAAATTGAAAAAAAAGTAACAGACCTTTGCACTGCCATAAAAATTCATTTTGTTAGTGAAAATAAATCGTCCATGATCTCGCTATTCGCAACTTTGTGAATACTCTCACTCTTCTTGCTCCACTAATCAAGTTGAAGACTTAGCTCATATATCTTCCAGATGTCTAGAAACCAAAACATCACAGACACCTCCTTCATTCATCATCTCTCTTTTTAGAAAATACAGGCATTTGTAACAAATGCTCTCTTTATGCCCCTGTAATTTCAGCCATTTTAAAATAGCCTTGTTGCACTTATTTTAAAATGCCTGCAAAAGGATACTTCGATCTCGAAATAAATTCATGACATGTTTTCGCACCAGATACAATGCGGGTCCTAGTTCTGTTATATTGCACTTGGTAACTTTAAAATATCACCCACATTTCGGCAAATTACATTATGTCTAGAACTATTTCATAGAAGATCAGTACATTGTTAAACTGTTACTACGATTTGAAACGCTTTAAAAAGTACGGAAATGAATCGGCGTTCTCGAAGAAGATTTTGGCTCCTTAGGAATTTTAGCGATGCGGTATGTGTGACTTTCAACCTACGATATTTGTAACACTAAAACGTAAAATCAAATCAACAAATCGGGTGGTGAGAAAAATAAACGAGAGACTGGAATGACTCCAAGCAAGGTAAATGATACGGTAGAGAACAACAAGTAGATAAAATGTGCGACGAATCGAACAAATAAACTTCTTTCATTGCTACAATGAAACAAAACGTGCAGTGCCAACAAAACAATAACGAATTCTATTTAGCGTGTTTTGTCAATTTTCTTCACAACGAAAAACGGATGTTGAGCCTTCCGACAGCAATTTTAACTAATGCTCGATTCAATATCTTTATCTGCAATAAAAGTTTTAAGCTGTAACATACTTAAGTATTCCGGTTAAAACACGGTTACACGAGCTATTAAATAAAGCTAAATACTACATGAAAAATTAGTCGATTAGATTAGCTAAGGAGTTCACAAAATGACATATATTTGCTCACTCACCACAGTCCTCTGAAAACAAACGCAATTCCAAAAGGAATGACTAAATCATCACTTGCGACCATCCACCGACGTTTAAAGACAACAATCCCCGGCATATTCAAATTTCCAAGACGCGAGTTACTTCAAACTTCAAAGCACGTGAAGTGATTAAGATGAGCTTTATGTTGTGCTTCTGCTGTCCTCGTCTGGAATAATTTACAAAGATCCTCCTTTCAACAAAAGTAAACTAATGCTTCAAGTCATTAGCGTAATTACTGCTAAATCAACACAAAGAAATATTTTCTTAGGAGAGGAGATAACTCCCTCCTTCCTGAAAGAAGTCTCCAAAAAAAAACAATACTCGTTTGCATAATTTCGCGCATCGTTTAAAATTCAGCGTTGCGTGTGAACCGTGGGCTCAGAAAGGGCGAGAAATGAACATGATTGGTTACTTACGCATGTCGGTAAATTCAAAATTCGAACAGGGCGATGGAATTTCTCTAATTTCCGTGCGGTTTGTTTGCAGATATTTTTTTATCTAATAGACCAGAAAGTGAGTGTATTTTACTAGATTAAGTAATCTAAGTGTTAACTTAAAGAAAATGTTCAATTGAAAAAAATATTTCTGAGGAGTCGAGAGAGCAAATTGAAGTCGTCATACGCAAGTCTGCTCTGATTCAAGATGGCCGTCACAAGCAACTCGAAGGAGGGAACAGCGCTCGGGTTTTCTCTGCATCTTCGAGCCGAAGAGGCGATAGCTAAGTTCGAGAAAGAAATCAAGGATGACTTTAACTACCTACATGAGATATTATCTGAAGCAAAACAACATTTTGGCCGGTAAGACTTTAAATAGCCACTAAGAGCTTAATCTGAAGCTTGACTTATTTTCGTGAACTACATATAATAATATAATCGATATCATTGTTGTTTGGAATTAGTTACTTTTTCCAGCTGAGATGAATCTACTGGCTGTATGGGTATTCCTATTTAAGGTCTTATATTATGTACAAGTTTGAGAGCCATGTCTTAAGTAAGTAAGTAAGTAATTTTATTTAACCACATATCGCATATGAGCGATAGCTCGTTTAAATGCAAATGTGAGTTTAGGAACATCACAAGGCTTGCTTTGTGAATAAGCATGCTTAGCTTTGTTTCTGCGAGGTTTTTAGCATGCAGCTAGTTTATAAATCTGGGTAGAGCGAGAGGGAAAGGTGTGCCTAATTAAAATTACCGTGATTAAGTACAGAATGCCATACATCGCTACTTTTTTCACATTATAACTCTCAAACTTGAAGTAAATTACATGTACCGGTGTTAGTACTGTGTCAACATAGCCATATAATATATATATATACCCAGTTGTTCTTGTAGTTGTCAGACATTTTGTGTTTTCCTTAGGCGTGACAGCAACATTCTTCTTCCCAAAACACCCTCAATGAAAAGAAAACGTCAGGAGAGTGATGAAGAACAAAGTAGCGATGACAGTTTGTTCAAAGTGACAAGAGAAATGAAGGCCCCTAAAACACAAGGTTATGCGTCACCACTGACAGTAATAGATGAGGATGAGCCTCTGGATTGTAGCAGTGTTACAGGAGAAGATACCAAACAAGTTAGTGACAAGGGACAAACACGAGCTACAAGGGCAGGGACTCAGGCTAAACGACAGCAGCCAAAGCGTGGATCACGGAAAAAGATGCCAGTGGTAAATGAGGAACAGACAGATTCATCCTCGATGGATGAAAAGCCAAGAAGAATCACTCGAAATGCAAGGAAGAAAATAGAAGAAAATGAAGCTTTATCCTCCAATGAAGAGAATAAGATACCCAAACGATCCACGAGAAATACCAGGAAAAAACTCAAGGATGCTGCAGAGATTCCATCTATAGAAGAACAACCACCGCAACCTGTGATGGAGGACAGCACTTCAAGTGCAACTAAAAATTTAAAGGAATCTGGAGAAGTTATGCCTGAAGTTATTTTGAAACAGGAACCTGTGTCACCTGTCAAAGAAACACAGCCACTAAGAAGAAGTACAAGAAACTCAAATTCAGGCCAAGAAGGTGCAAAAGAACTTACTGTCCCAGTACCTGAGACTCCAGATCTACCTGCTGATGCAGGAAAATCTCCTCCTGCATCAGCCAAGACCTGCAAAGCAACTCTCCATTTAGTGCTACAATCACCAGGATTTAATTTTGGAAATGCAGCAAACCCTGTAGTCACTTCAAGTCCTTGTGTTGAGCAAGCTCATCATACTGGTGATGTTACAGTTGATGATATCCTGCAATCTGAAACGAAAGATACAACAGACGGTAATGATGTTGTGACTGAGTCTTCACTGTTCCCTAATACACCCCAGCAGTCAATAGACATTTGCAAAAATGAAATACTCAAGTCTGAAAATAAGAGAGACCCTGGTTTTACTGGGAAGAAAAATCATATTGAGAGTGTAATCGACCATGAACAAAACTTGGATGCAACAGAGAAGATTGTCACTGAAACAAGACAAAAAGATGATGTCAACAAGACATACGAAACTGGAATGAAGTCTGGAAGAAGAAGTACACAAAGAAACAGTGGATGGCGGCGGAAGAGCAAGCGCTCCAGTCTCTGTATGTCTCCAGGAGACAGACAGCAAGCAGTCAAGAAGAGCAAGGCAAAAGCACCAGGAAAGAGGAGTCTTGTCAAAAGCTCTGTTAAGCTTAAGCTGACACAATCAAAGCTTATGCCAGAGTTGAATTTGAATGGTTCTGTTCAAAGCAGTGCTGAAGGACCATCAGAGCCTGCTCTGGAAGGTGTTAGAGTGAGGCTGTTTGATAATTTGACGAGTGAGAGTAGTACCTCCAGTGGAAGTTCAGCTGGATCTCCTAGTAGTTGTAGTAGTGCTGAGGACAAGGCTGATGCTCCGATGGAAAAGCTGGTGGAAGAACCTGACGATGGTGATGTTGCAGAAGTGTTTCATGACTGTAGAGCAACTGAGATTCATGATGATGATGAAGCTAAGAGTGAACAGAATGCAAAGAATGACAGGTACGCACTTTAGCTTAGTCATGTCTGGTACATGTAGCTTAGTCGTGTCTGGTATATGCTAGTGAATTCTGTTCTTAACTTGCCTGATGGGCAAGTGCTGGCTTTTGGGGAAATTCAAATTACATACTAGGTACTTTAAGACAAATTAAAAATTCACATCGACTGAAAGCCATTTTTTAAACTGATCTAACAAGTTTAATCTGCAAAAACAAGTATCACATTACATTTTATGTAAGACTAGATGTTGTGTGGCCCACGTAATCTTCAGGTAAAAACTATTTAAAAAAGGACACTTTAGGAGAGTGTTACATAATGGAGAGGAAGGGACTAGAACGATAGAGAACAAAAATGTACTTGTGAAGAGACTTAGAAATTTCACATTAATAAGTTAGTAAGAGGAAAAGCTAAGGTAGCGTCAGGGGATGGAATCTATTGCTGACCTGACCCACAAACAGCGAGAACTACATGCAAGTTGGGTTTAATTTTTCATATAGTGTCACCTATTTTGTATTCATTTTTTGATGTGTATTTTTTTTAATCTTCTGTGGTGTTCTGGTGTGGTCATGTGTTGCAGTGTTCCTTGTTTTAGTACATGCCCTGGTGGGGAGGTGAATAGTAGTAGACATATATACTGGACACAAAGCATAAGATGCATATCTAGCACTTTGCTGCAACCCAAATTTTGTAACTACCGACAGTCAGGAGTGAATGAGTGACATTGATTTTATCCATTGAAACAGTGATAAGTCACCAGCTGTGGAGAACTTCACATCACCGGTAGCAAGTCATGATACCAGTGGTAGTGAAGGCTCAGAAGCTGCATCAGGAGGAATGACTGACGAATTCAAGACACCTCCACAAGAGAAACAAGAAGCTGTGAACAACCCCCCACAGAAGGTAAGGAGATCTGTATTCATTTGCATAGTGATATCAGGGCCATCCTGATAGCAGAGAAAGACTGCATAAAATCGAGTAAGAGATAAGAGATGGAGTAAGAGTGTGTGGAGATAGTTTTGAACACAGGCTTTTGGTTATGACCATCAGTTTATCAATAAATAGATGCTTACACCAAAAAAAAAATTTTGAGAAGAGAGAACAACCATAAGTTTGAGCTGTGGCAACCTCAAAGGTTTGACGTGATTCAGGCAGAGTCTCCTTTACTCCTCCTCACTTGATAAGACAAAAGAAGGCTCTGTTCAAAAGGTGTATCGGGGCATATTCATTGTGAACTACAAGTCCTCTGGGACTAGTTGCACAGAACCTTAAATCAAGGCTCATTTAAATGGTTCTAACATTTTCCCATGATTCTTCTTTCAAGAACTGTGTGATGAATGTGGAAGCAAAATAAATGTTAAAATAAATTAGAATTTAATGGACCTTCATAAACTTCATCAACAATAGATGGGGTTAGGTGTGGGTGCCCTAAAGGATGGTAATGCCAAGCAAGCACATAAGAGATAAACATAACGTATCCATGGCAACTAGCAAGCTGCAACTACCACCAGCACTGTCCCACTGCATGGCCAAATAAATCAATGAAAATAAAACATAGTACAGAGGGAGCGAGGGGCAGGGCAGAAATCAGCAAAAGGTGACCTCAGGGGTTATATGTTTCTGGTTCAACTTAAATAAATATTACATTTAGCCACATGACAATATTGCTAGCTGTTTATTACTAATAACTTATATTGCACAAATATCAATAAAAAAAGTCCAATCTCCGGTGTAAAAATAAGATGATTGATTCTATGAATGACATCTTGTTTTTCTGTTGACACCAGGCCAAACCAAACAATATTGCCCTTGTGCATTCATTTATTAGAAGAAACACTCCAAAGAAAGTAGATCCAGAGGTTTGTAGCTATTCTTTTCTTGTTTACTTAAGACAGGCATGGTGTACCAGAGGCATGGCTTGAAAAAAGTCCTGTCCAGTAGTGTGGGACAAGTAGATTTTCTTCCCGGGGAAGAAACTTTTAAAGCTTACTTACCCAATGGGTAAGAGTCCTGGAGAGTCATCCTCTAACAAAATCATGAACTTAGGGCGCTTTCACATGTCAGAAGTGACCGGCCAGACCATTCTTATCGCAACAATGATTTCCCTTTTAATCAAAACTATCCAGCCAGATCATTCAAATTCTAAATAGTATGCACGAAGGAGATGGTTTTTCAGAAAAAAACTCTTGGAAAAACCCTTTTTCATTTTCAAACTGACTGGTCGGGCAATGGTCTGGCCAGCCATTTCTGATAAATGGAAAGTGCCCTTAGATGAGCAAGGGGTGGCCCCGAGCAAGGAAAATGTTAGAGCTGCTTGCCCAAAGTACAAGCTGGAATTCAAGATTTTTTCAGCCCTGCAGGGGACCTAAAAATTTAATATCGTTGCAAAGTCAGTGGTAGAGTCTTTGTAAGGTAGTTCTAACTTTTGAGGCTGTGGACAAAATCATCATATGCTGCGACCATTCAAATGAAACCTCTTTCATAGTTTGGTAGTATTTTCACCTAGTAGTACAGTGGAATCCTATTAATACGGTCACCAATGGGTCAAGTAATACTAGAGGAGCTTTAAGGGAATCATTTGCAGTCAACTGCAAGAAAAATTCAATCTACAGGATATAATAGGAATTATAATACTTGGATTTCTAGTAGTTATAAAGTAGTTCTTGCGTTCTAGAAGACGTTCACCAAAATACAGCAACAGACGGATTGGTAATTACAGCGTTCATAACTGCATTCATCCCCCCAAAGAACTAAAAACTTGGCTGGAGCTCCCCCTCTTCTCATTCTCTTTCCTGTGCGGTCATGATGGTTGCACAGACTACCCAGCCTGGAGCTCAACTTTTCAAATGTTTTGATTTGAAATTTCCAAACAATGCATTTGAAATTCAGAACTTCACCTTTCAACTGAAAGCTCATCGTTCTTCCATCGTTCTATTTTGTAATATTTTTTTCCTCAGGAAAAACACAAGCAACTGCGTATTGCATTAAAAGAGAAGGAGGTGAAGGAAAAAGAGAGGCGGGAACAAATTGAAAAGCAGAAACAACGTGAAATTGAGGAGCGAAAGAGGTGAGCCGAGTTTGAAACATTTATTTAATTTCTTTGGGTTCATTTTTATCGCCTGCGAGATAAAATCTTTTAGTATTTACCAAATCACTGAATAGCAATTTTCGCGCGTGTTGATTGGCTCCCGTAACTCGGAATATCCTTGGCTATTCACTGTTTTGCGACCGGAGCCAAAATGGCGTCTCGTTTCGAGACATTTTCGGAAGACGAAATTTGTGCGATAAATGAAGCAGTCGTACAAACAGTGAAACAAATACCAAGAAAGGGAAGAACTTTGGCTTCTCGGTGTTCACTGGTAGGTAGAAAATTATTTTCACGCTGAATTTGCAACAAAATCGTAAAATGCCCCTGACAAAATCCCCGAAATGTTTGTAAATTGTAAACAAAGTTCTTACTAACTGCCTTTTTTAATTTACAAAAAGTTACTTTTTTTCAGTTTTATCCAACTGATTTGGTAAATACTAAAACAACTGACCCCTCAGGGTCGGTGAACAGCGCTAGATATATACCTCGACGCTTCGCGTCTTGATATATTTCCACTACTATTCACCTCCCCTACGGGAAATAGTTGTATACTATTTTGACACTCTCATTTACCGTATGAAGAAATTCCGCACTTCCCTGTACATGTCAGGATTGTGACTGGCCGGCAACTGGTAGAGAAGTGCAAAGCGCCATGATATAAAACAGTTTCGTTCGATGTGGAAACCAAAATAATCCTAAGAACTACTTACTGAGAACCGTGAAGCTGTTCACCGAATTGCGTAAAAGAAAAAGAAAAATATGTTGATGTCCATATCTTTGACACGGGCTAGATTTGTTAGCAGACAGTCGAAACTTTTTTTTTCTCCTCTTTGTAACTTCAGGAGAAGAGAGGAGCGAGCTAAGAAAGCGGCAGAGCAAAGAGCTGCTAAGCTTCAAGCGCTTGAGGAGAAGAAACGGCAAGCTGAAGACCAGCGACACCTTAACGAGGAAAAAGCCAAGAAACTTAAGGAGAAAGAAGACGAGGAGAAAAAGAAACAAAGACTTCAGAAAAGAGCTGAGCTGGAAGCGAGAAGAAAGCAAGAGGAGGCTGCTAGACAACTGCGCAAGAGAGAACAGGAAGAGGAGGAAAAGCGCCAACGGGAAGCTATCCAAAGGAAACAGGAGTTAGAAGAGCAGGAAAGGCAGAGGAAAATTGCCGAGGCAAAGCGTCTCCAAGAACACCGAGAGAAAGAGTTAGAAAAGGAGAGAGAGCTGGACAAACAGCGGAAGCTAAGGGCGATTGAAGAGAAGGAGAAACGGCTGCGAGAAAAGGAAGAGAAAGAGAGAAAATCGCGGGAAGAAAAACTGAGAATTGAGCGAGAGAGGGAAGAGAAGGAACGGGCACGAATTGCACAACTTATCCGGGAGAAGGAAGAGGCCGTAAGACGCGAGAGAGAACAGCGAGCCAAAGAAGAGAAAGAACGGCAGGAAAGAGAGAAAAGGCTCAGAGAAGAACGTGACGCGGCACTACGCGAAAAGAAGCGCCTGGAGGAAAGGGAGAGAGAAAGATTACGTATTCTCGAGGAACGAAAATTAGCCGAAAACCAATCATCGTGCGACTCTTACGACATGACGCCCCCTCCGGCAAGGGTAAAACGCCAGCCATCATCGCAAGAGAATTACAACATCGAAGACTTAAACAGCGACGATTCCACTGACGAGGAAGATAACCCGAGGAAAAAAATCCCAGCTTGGGCGCGACCACCTGCTCTCACGGCCGCCATCTTTAAGCAGGAATACTCGAGCATTGACGTGAACAGTATATTCGACAGCGTTCCTGCGCCGAACTTGGAGGAAATTTTTACGAAGAAAAAGCAGCGATACCTTCATCGAACAAGTTCGGCGATTTGGAATTCACCGCCTCTACGGCCAGTGAAAAAAGGAACGTTAGTCTAGAAGTAACTTGTTTTCAAGTTGAATATATTTTTAAAGACTCCATGAAAGCTCGTTGTAGGACATACATGAAGACACCAGTTGGCTGGTTTTACTCAATGTAAATAACTCCCGTGTTGCTGTTCGCCACTTTAGAAACGGGAAGGGAACTAAAGGCAAAATACGTCCCGAAATTGTTTTTTGGGATCGCTACCGGGAGACGCGCCGGTCAGCTATTGGCCAATTTTTTCCCAGTAACAGCCCCACTTCCTTTCTCGTTTTTCATAGTGGCCAATGCTGTAGAAGAAATTTATCTTTATTTAGACTATTTGCAATCCCAAAGGATTCTTGCAAAGGCGAGCCTATTACTCGTTATTCTCTTTCAGTCTTGCTGCGACACCTTGCCCTCTCAGCGGACTGAATATAAGGTCTGCTAGGAATCTGTTTCATAATAGGATACTCTACATAAAATTGTTCAAATTTTCAGTGACTTTGTTCGGACTTGCCACATGTTTTTCTTGAGAAATTCAGTTATCTATTGTACCCCTTTCGCTTAGTTTACGGTTTCATCATATTGTACTTCTTTGATATTTTTTAAGCTGGTATTATGAGAAGTCCTTTTCTTAGAGTCCAGCGAAGTCAGTTCTTTTGCACTGAAAACATGCTTACGCACATTCGCGTTGGAATCAATAGGCAGTTTTAGCAAGGACAACGCGTGCAGATCCGAAAAAAACCGGCTTGACCAACGGCCGCCGGAAGCCGCGTCCAGTTCTTTTCGCGCGCTTTCTCTTTGCCGTTTGACGTCGCATTGTTTTAGCTAAACAAAACGACTCTGAAAGTGGAGACCTACAGATAAGAGAACAACTACGAGTACTAAATTGGATTAAACGTTTTACGTGTATTGTCAAAAAAAAAAAAAGAATAACCGTAATGCGTCGTTTTTTTTTTTTTTTTACCAGAAAAGTTAGTACTGTCATCTTAATGGAAGGAGGTTATGCCCTCTACCAATCGCACTTTGATAAAACTTTTAACACTTGATAAATTGTTTCGGCCATTAGACAGTTTCTTGCTAAAACTCGTAGAAGGGCGACGCCTATCACGTTTTCCCGCCAAAATGACGCTGGCTAACGTGTGCAGACTTCTTGGTATGGAGAAAATCTCGTCCTCATCTTAGAATTTAGTAGGTCATTTCGAAGCCAAGATTTGAAACTCTGAACTTCTGACACCCGCCTTTGCAAATGACTAGTAGCTACAAACTATTCTGAAAACAAAACTAGACTCTTCAAAGTATTCAATTTGATATAGTTTGAGTGATTTTATCTGGTGTGTAGTTCCTTTCCGCTTCACCCAATGAAGACAGCTGCTGCAAATCAGACAAGAAAAACTTTTGATTATGAAGGACTCATACTTCGAGCGCTTACCAAAGGTCAGAACTAACCGGCTGGACTGGTCATTTTGGAGATGTAATAGGTTTTTCTCTAGAGTTTTCTTTTAACACCTATCACTACCGTGTATGCTATTTAGCAATAGACTGACCTGACTGGAAAGTCTTGTTTTTAAATAGTACAAATTTCTTTACAACTACACTGGTCTATCCGGCCAGTGTTGACTGTACTAATGGTAAGCGCTCTTGATAGAGTGCAAAAACAGAGGTGTCGATTAATGTACATACAAATCACTTGTATATAGTCCATTTTAGCTCATTTTAGGTAAAGAAAACCGGTGCAGTAGTTGGATTTCGTTTGAAATTTAAAGATTCACTGTCGATTTACAGTACCATGTGCACTTGAATGGGGGCCACATCAATTTGTTCCGAGCCTGTTTTTAGTTTGCCACATTGTGTTCTCTTCACATGGACGAAACATTTCTCGGGTGGAAATAGTCCGTACAGGTCTATCTAATGCCAATAAACTTAATAAAAGGGGCAAAAGTCTTTAGTGTGAGTGGTTGAACATTTTTTAATGGCATTTATTATGTACATACCGAGACATACTGGCCGTTTCACACTTGAGACAGGTTGTTCGTTTTGATCTGAAAACGGAAGGGTTGTGAATGATACTCCGTCTGACTTTATTCTTCCGTGGAGGAGAACAATAGAAATGTTGTGGGAGGGAAGACAATGGAAATTAAGGAGGAGCGAAATAATTGAATTGTGAAGGACTAGGAAACGGAGACTATCAGGTTTAGTTGTTAGAAGAACCATTTTTCCCTCACTCTTATTAATGTGCACAAATTGCACGTCGAAAATCAGAAACGGAACGTGGAAAATAAGTGTGGAAGGAAATAAAAATTGCATAATAACCTTACGGCTCAGTGATTTTTAGACTGCGAGCAGATTGAGTAAGAGGAGTGCGCGCGAGCGTTGAGCGGCGAAGACGCGAGAAACAAGGGAGGCAGCTCCCTCTCCCGTCTCGCACCTTCAGTCACGCGCGTGGTCATTTGCGTGTCGCGGGCGTTTTGCTCGACGGACCAAGAAAAGAGAGAGACTGCTCGTAGTCTAAGTGATTTTAGGCGACTTGTGAGTAGGCGCTTATTCCTTTGTTACAATGAATCAACCAATGGACGCTTTTCTTATTTTCTTGCCCCAGTTGTTCCAAAGCTGGATAGCGCTATCCACCGGATAAGTCTTTATTCAGTGGAGTAACGCAATTGGTCTTTCTAATGCTTATCTACTGGGTAGAAATTTGTCCTGTGGTTTGAACTATCCAGATTCAACCTCGTTCCCAGGGTCCTCCCCCACTCTGCCTCCCTTGGCAACACAGCCACTACATCTCCACCACGATAAATTGTCTTTAGGTACTGAACCTGGTTTGCTTTAAGATTGATATTAGAGTAACTGCTACTGGAGCTTGCAAAGTGAAGGCTATTGAAAAACATGACGCACGTTAATTATGGCGGTCGAAATGTTTCGTGACTCTTTTCCAAATAGCCTCTCTTTGAAGGTGACAAAAATATTGTCGACAAAATTTTGAAATCGAACGACCCCTCCCTTATTATATTATGTGTCTAAAGGACACGTGACCAGACCAGGGTCTCTCTCTCTCTCTCTCTATCTCTCTCTCTATCTCTCTCTCTCTCCCTCCCCCTCTCCCCTTCCTTTCCCCCCCCCTCCCCCCCCCCACCGCGCCGACACGGCCGACCACGCGACGCCAGACCCGCCGCAAAACAAAAACACACAGCACCACAACACACACCAACCAATTAGAAATAATAAAAACATAAACAAACAAACACGCCTACCAA